ATGTGACAGTCGAACTTCCCCATAGGATTTTCTTGGCTGCAATGTTTATGGAAACAGACCATCAGGTCTTTCCCCCAGCTGATGGACAGATTTGAATACCGACCTTTTAGTAAGGAGCCAAGCCCTTGACTGTGTGTGCCTCTATGACTCTTTGACATGTTGCTGTTGTAGTTGTTGGTAGGTGCCATCAAAGGGGTTCTGGCTCATAGTGACCCAGTGTACCACAGAAACATGCTGCCTGCTCCTGCACCATCCTCACCATCATTCTCACGTTCGACCCCATTGTTGCAGCCACTGTGACCATCCACCTTGTTGCGGGCCTTCCTCTTTTTCACTGCCCTCCTACTTTATTAAGCATGATGTCCTGTTCTAGGGACTGGCTGCTCCTGACAACATGCCCAAAGTACATGAGACGAAGTCTCCCATCCTTACCTCTGAGGAGCCCTCTGACTGTGCTTCTTCCAAGACAGATTTGTTTGTTCTCTGACAGTTCATGGTACTTTCAGTAGTCTTCATTTGGAGTTTGGCCTTTTTCTAGAGGGATAAAATTTGATACAATATTTTGAGTGAGAAATTTTACAGTAACTATTATACTTTTGGACAGAGCAATTTCATCACAGGCATTTACTTTAAAGACATATGCTAATATTTCAATATGTGTGAAAATATGGTTGTAAAAGAATAGGCACTGTAAGATATTATAGCCAGGGATTTTAAAAACACTGAATTCTCCAAAACATAATATTGTTTAAATAAAAGTTGATATAACAAAAAAAGGAAATAGCAAGCAGATGGTAAACAATGAGTTAGATCTATATGGAAATATATTTTTAAATAGGTGCAGACCAGGAAATATAATGTCACCATATTATATTATGCATGTATATGTGCAGATGCATATATATATATAAATGTACCAATATATCAGCATATCCTACAGCTAGTACAATGAATAGCTCTGGAAAGAGATGAGGGTCTGACAGCAGTTGTCTTTGAGGAGAACTTGGGGCCATGAGCACGGGTAAAAGAGAGACTTGTTTTTATTTAATACTATTTTGTATTTCTTTTAATATTCTTCTTTGTGCTACATTACTTGTCTAGTTTTTTTATCTTGGCAAGTAATATGGCTTGACTCATTAATACTTTGCTTCTAGAAAACTGGACCCAAATGTCTGTTTAATCTATTTATTGTTGTCAAATGTTTCAAATACATAAAAATTAGAATCGTATAATGAACTGCAACATATCCACATCTAGCCTTCAGCAATTATAATCATTTTATTTCTGCCAGCCATGTTTTATTTATGTTCTCACTTTATCCCTGAATTTTTTTTAAAAAGGAAACCCATATAGCTATCACCTATAAAAAAACCTGCTGTTACTCCCGAAAGCATTACACCTCACTAACTTGACATGATGTTTTAAAATTGTATTAAGTGCACAAAGAATTTAAAAAATAGCAAATAGTAAAACGGAAGTAAGAACTCAGGAGGATCAAATAAAATGAAACACATGAAGCACAGTGCATAAAATATTTAGTAAAAAATACTAAAAAAAGACAAGTTTCACAGACTTTTAGAAACTAATATGTTAAAAATAAATTCGAAGAATGCCTAGAAATGGGGAAAATATCTCTTTAAAGAGATAAAAAATTCGGGGGAGAGGGTAGGGAGTAAAAAAAAGATACAAAATTATTCAGAAAATACATAAATGCAGTCAATTTGTGTGAGCTGAATACACTGTAAAAGTGGTTCTGAATCTTGGCTAACCTGGTAATGGGTAAAGTTGCCAGATTTAGCAAATAAAAATAGGATTGCAAACTGTAATTTTGGGACATGCTTCTCTTAAAATGTTGTCCCTTTATTAAAATTTTAAACTTAACTGCATCTCTTATGTTTTGACTGGCAATGGCTGGCCTCCACCAGAGACAGTAGAAATCAGAATGTCTAGGTTGTGGCTTGGGCATGAGTATTTTTAAACGTTCCCTAGATTAGAATATCTTAATAATGACAATGATTGGTAATGATAGCCCTAGAAAAGCCTAATTTTTAAAAATCAATTTGTTGGGGGCTAATACAACTCTTATCACAATCCATACATACATCAATTGTGTAAAGCACATTTGTACATTCGTTACCCTTATCACTCTCAAAACATTTGCTCTCCATTTAAGCCCCTGGCATCAGCTCCTCATTTTCCCCTGTCCCTCCCTGCTCCCCCCTCTCTCATGAACCCCTGATAATTTATACATTATTATGTCATATCTTACACTGTCCGACATCTCCCTTCATCCACTTTTCTGTTGTCTGTCCCCCAGGGAGGAGGTTATATGTAGATCCCTGTAATTGGTTCACCCTCTCTACCCTACCTTCCCTCCATGAAAATACTAATTTTATATGAATTGATAGCATAATGGCTTCTAGCTAATTGACTTTAGGGAAATTGGTATCAGGTGGAATCTCTATCGCCACTTCAGCTTGACCCAAAAGGTTTTCCATCTCTCTTGATACATTAAGTATCGAAGAACCTAATTCCTATTGCAGACATTGATTATGGGATCCCACTTTGAATGTGGTTGGCATCTGCATCTGGCTCTCCCCTTTTGATAAGTGAAATCCCATTTGAAAGGAACAGCTTGCTTTTCTTGCCTGCTCATCAAGGCCTGAGACTGATTATGTGAAAATTCTCTCAAGTTTACAGTTTCGAGTTGAAGCACCCTGGTCTCAAATAAGCAGAGTCAAAATTCCTTTGGCACTTTGAGGCCGTTTCCTTTCCCCTTGCACAGGTGAAGAAACTGTAATTAAGAATAAATTGGTGACTTGATAACTGTCGGAGATGTTACTAGAGGCAAAATCAGCCATCCAAGCTTCTAATTCATTTTGTTGATTTAAGAGAAGGCACCATGGTGGAAGTCCCCAACTTTGGTTAGTGTTCCTCAGAAAAACAAGTCATGAGACTTAGACTTCCAGACTTTTCCCCAAACAAAATGTCACCTGAGAGCACTGTTTTCTTTCTTGTCTGTTGCTAAGGTGCTATCTGTCTCCTCATCAGCTCCAAATGACTTTGGTGGCAGAAAAGAATAGGCTCTTATTGGATGCCAAATTGAATCTGCAGAGAGTCAGTGAACTAAGACTAGAGAATTATTACAGTGACTCAGTATGTGAGTGTCTGTTTGTGATTTTCAACTTTGATAACAAGCAAGGCCTACTTTTAATTTCCTCTTAAATATTAGGATGTTTCAAAATGTCCACAGTTACTGATTAGGCCATTGTGTTTTGATTTCAGTGATAGTGAAGAGTCAACTTTTAAACTTTCTTTTTTTCAAAAAACGCATCTGGGAGATGCTAACTGAACTTTGTGTTACAAGAGTACTCATCTGAGTCACAAAGGAACCTGAGTTCAGAGCTCATGGTTAGACACCCTTGTTTCTTTTGGCTTCCGTAGGTCAGGACATATTGACCACTATCCCACGTGAGAAAACTCACAGCACTGGCAGCTTATCTATCACCCCAACATTCTGATCTCATGAGAAGCCTGAATCTCAGGAATGGATTTCCCTTCCAAAAGGGTAGAAAGTCAGAACTTTGAGACCTTCTACTATGAAAATATCCAAGACCATGGAGGGAAACGCTCACATCAGAGTGTACCTTCTTTTTGTCTCTGGCTTTCATACCTGCGTCAGCATAGGTCAAACACCCATGCTTCGATTAGGACCTCAGTTGTATCGAAGCGATAAAGGTGTAGAATCTGAATGTTTCTAACAAGACCCCCACAACTGATCCTGACTCTGAGCAACACTAATGAAAATTGGAAACTTCACCATATATTTTCTTTTAAACTAATAAAAGTTGTGATCTTTCAGAAGTAGATTGCCAGGCCTTTCTTCCAAGATACCTCGAGGTGAATTCAAATTTCCCATCTTTCTTCCATAGTTGTTTGGGCCACCTACAGCCTGAAAAACAACAAATTGTGTTCCTTGCTTCTTACTGTCAATTCAAGATCACGCTACTTCCCTTCTTCCTGACTACATTCAGCTTACAGTTTCCTATCATCAGAGTTTATTATCTTATGAATCTACTAGATAGCAACTAACAACTTCTCCCTGGGAAAGGAGCTCAAGTAGTTTGCAGTGAGTTGCTACCCTAAACATTGGTGGTTCATCATTGTTTATGTCAGCGGTTCTCAACCTGTGGGTCACGACCCCTTTGGGGGTTGAACAACCCTTTCTCAGTGGTCACCTGATTCATAACAATAGCAACATGACAGTGATAAAGTAGCAACAAAAATAATGTTATGGTTGGGGTCACCACAACATGAGGAACTGTATGAAAGGGTCACGGCATTAGGAAGGTTGAGAACCATTGGTTTGTGTAGATAGTATTCAAGTCACTTAAGCTTTGAATCTATGCAAGTAAAAAAAAAAAACCACGAATTACAGTGCAAAAGCTGTCCAATACATGTATAATTTCCTTATACCAGCAGTGTTTTTAATTCTATGCCATTCCCTAAATTCATGATTCTTATTATTGGTGGGTGCCACCAAGTCGGTTCCAACTCACGGTGTCCCTGTGCATAAGAACTGCACATGGCCGGGTCCTGCACCATGCTCACACTCTTCTCTATGCTTGAGCCCCTTGTTTCGCCACTGCTGGTCACTTCATCTCACTGAGGCTTTCTCTTTCTCATTGACCTTCTATAGTGATTCCCTATTGGACTGCTAACCTCCAGGTTAGCAGTTTGAATCCACCAGGCAGCTGCTCCTTGCGATAAAAATGAGGGTGTCTGCTCAAGTAAAGAGTTGCAATCTTGGAACTCACAAGGGCGGTTCTATTCTCTTCTTCTTTTTTTTTCTCATTAAACTTTGTTTTAATGGGTCTCAAAATCCTGTGACAAATTTTTGGTCAAGTTGTTTTCCTTTTAAAAAGTACTGATTTTAAAAACTAATAACTTAAAACTGCCACACAAAAAAGAAACATGGTCTACAAACATTCTTTTCCTTCTGAAAGTTTTACGATGCATTGTTATCATCAACCAGTCTTTTACTATGAAACTTAAATGGCCAATTGAGACAAACAGCGCTGAGACCCTTCTTCCACCCCTGATAAAGACTGGAGTGGCAGGTGTGATGGGTAATATTCATTTAGCCTTCTGAGCCTTCTGGGCCAACTTGGTGACTTGCCAACTCCAGCAGCCTTTTTGTCCACAGCCTTGATGACACCCACATCAACGGTCTGTCTCATGTCTCGGACAGCAAAACGACCCAGAGGAGGATACTCAGAGAAGCTTTCCACACACATGGGCTTGCCAGGTACCATGTCAACAATGGCAGCATCACCAGACTTCAAGAATTTGGGGCCATCTTCCAACTTCTTGCCAGAACGGCGATCAATCTTCTCTTTGAGCTCAGCAAACTTGCAAGCAATGTGGGCAGTGTGACAATCCAGCACAGGTGCGTATCCAGCACTGATTTGGCCTGGATGGTTCAGGATGATCACCTGAGTGGTGAAGCCAGCTGCTTCCATTGGTGGGTCATTTTTGCTGTCACCAGCCACATTGCCACGGTGAACATCTTTGACAGAGACGTTCTTGACATTGAAGCCTACATTGTCCCCAGGCAGAGCTTCACTCAAAGCTTCGTGGTGCATTTCAACAAACTTCACTTCAGTGGTAACGTTGACTGGAGCAAAGGTGACCACCATACCGGGTTTCAGAACCCCAGTTTCCACTCTGCCCACAGGGACAGTCCCGATACCACCAATCTTCTAGACGTCCTGGAGAGGGAGGCGCAGGGGCTTGTCAGTTGGGCGGGTTGGTGGCAGGATGCAATCCAGAGCTTCAAGTAGTGTGGTCCCACTGGCATTGCCATCCTTACGGGTAACCTTCCACCCCTTGAACCAAGGCATATTAGCACTTGGTTCCAGCATGTTGTCACCATTCCAACCAGAAATTGGCACAAATGCTACTGTGTCAGGGTTGTAGCCAATTTTCTTAATGTAGGTGCTGACTTCCTTAACAACTTCCTCATATCTCTTCTGGCTGTAGGGTGGCTCAGTAGAATCCATTTTGTTAACACCAACAATGAGCTGTTTCACATCCAGTGTGTAAGCCAGAAGGGCATGCTCACGGGTCTGCCCGTTCTTGGAAATACCAGCTTCAAATTCACCCACACCAGCAGCAACGATGAGGACAGCACAGTCAGCCTGTGATGTTCCTGTAATCATGTTTTTAATGAAGTCTCTGTGTCCAGGGGCATCGATGATGGTCACATAGTACTTGCTGGTCTCAAATTTCCACAGGGAAATACCAATGGTGATGCCACGTTCCCGTTCGGCTTTCAGCTTATCCAAGACCCAGGCATACTTGAAGGAGCCCTTTCCCATCTCAGCAGCTTCCTTCTCGAATTTTTCGATGGTTCTCTTGTCGATCCCACCACATTTGTAGATCAGGTGACCAGTTGTGGTGGACTTGCCAGAATCGACGTGTCCAATGACGACGATGTTGATATGGGTCTTCTCCTTTCCCATTTTGGCTTAAGTTTCTGCGATGGTTTTCACCGACACCTATATTCTGGCGGCAAACCTGTTGCGAAAAAGCTATTCTCTTCTATAAGGCCATTATGAGTCAGAATTGAGTCAACAGCAGTGAGTTGTGTTGTTGTTGTTTTTTGTTTTACTAATCATGGTGTCTTTCTCTAGGGACTGGTCCCTCCTGTTCACATGTCCAAAGTACACAGGACAAAATCTTACCATCCTTGTTTCTAAAAGAACAGTTTGGCTTTACTTCTTCCAAGACAGGTTTGTTTTCTGGCAGTCCATGGCATATTCAATATTCTTCAACAACATCATAATTCAAATGCACCAGTTCTTCAGTCTTTTATTCGTTGTTTACCTTTCACATACAATGAGGCAATTGAAAATACCATAGCGTGGGTCAAGTGCAACTTAATTCTCAAAATGACATCTTTGCTTTTTAACACTTTTGAGGGGTGTTTTGCAACATATTTGTACAAGGTAATAAGTCATTTTGTTTCTTGACTGCTGGGCTTTGATTATGAATCAAGTAAAATAATATCCATGAAATCTTCAATCTTTACTCTGCTGATCATAATATTGCTTATTGGTCCAATTGTAAGGATTTTTGTTTTATTTATGTCAAAGTGTAATCCATGCTGAAGGCTATAATCCTTGGTCTTCATCATTAAGTGCTTTGAGGACTCTTCACTTTCAGCAAGAAAGGTTGCATTCTCTGCAGATCCAATCCACAGGGCACATTCTTCTGCATATAAGGTAGTCATGTTTCTTGGGTCATTGTATCAGCATTCTGAATAAGTCTGGTGTAAAGATACAACCCTAATGCATACCTTTTCTTATTTATTTTTTTTTAACCTTTTCTTATTTTAAACCATGCAGTATCTTCTTGTTCTGTTTCAATGCCTGCCTCTTGGTCTATATATAGGTTCCTCATGAGCATTACGTGTTGTAGAATTCTCATTCTTCACAATGCCACCCATAATTTGTTAAGATCCACACAGTCAATGCCTTGGCTTAGTCAATAAGATATGTAAACATCTTTCTGGCCTTCTCTGATTTCTGCCAAGATCCATATGATATCTTTCATTCCACATCATCTTCTGAATTTGTCTTGAATTTCTATCAATGTACTGCTGCAACCAAAGAACAGGCTAATGTTATTGTTTGTGAATAATACATCCTGGGGTTTCAAACTCAATTCTTTGCTTTTGTAGCACTCCCTAAACCTGAGGATACTTCACTGTATCATTAATGCATTTATTCCCATTATTAAAAGACTTGGATTACAATTACCATATTTGAAAACTGATTCTTGGGTCATCTAGTCCCTATTGTTGAACATTATTTATTGGCCAGGGAAATATCTTTCAAGATTCTTCTTGTGCCTGACAACTCACCTGGGCATGTAACCCTCTACCTGACCTTCACTCCAATGTTAAGGTCACATTTTATCCATATCCCACCCACTACATCCCATTGCTACTTTAGTCAATAAATAGGGAGTTGTGGCCTTTTAATAAGCCTATTCTTATGATGGCCCTTCTCAAAAACAATCAGGGCTACACCAATATGATGTGGTGATATGTTAGGCTGGGTAGATTAGAGAAACAAATTCAGTAACACTCATATATATGTAAGAAAGAAACAACTGTGTATCAAGCAAACATCCCAGCCCAGTCCAACTAAGTCCTTATGTCCTATACTGGTCCATAAGTCCAATATTAGTCCAGTAAGCCCACTTAAGACTCATGAAGCCACATGCAATGATGCAGAATTGAGGAAGATCACAGGCAGGTGGGGACAAAGTCTTGTGAATCCAATGGCGGTGGCTGCATCACAAGGCTCGCAGGTCTCCGCATGGCTCACCAGCAGGAGGGTGAGGCAGAGAGAGAGGGGAAGTTCCCAGGACCCTGCTTATGAGGTCGTGCCCACAAGGAGGTACCATCAGGCTAGACTTCCTGATTGATAGGCTAGACTCCACCCCTACACTCCTATATCTTCAAGTTGACATGAAATTATGTAACTACTATAGGTGAATTGTGGAGAAATTACAATATCTCTGATGTCATCAAAATATTTATGATCCTTGGTATGAAATAATGCAGTCAAGAATGAAAGGATGGTGGAAGAAATTATGCCCCCAGGAGTTTACAGATGATGATATCTCAGAAGTCAGACTAATTATAATTGGCATTGGTAATTAGATGCAGCTAGACACCAGCAAAAATGATGTTGTAGAGGTACTCAACTTCCAAGTTGAGGAGCTAACCAATGGAACTAGAAAATCAGATGATATTATTTGCGGGAAAAGATTGGGATCCCAATATTTTATATTATTATATACTGCATTATTATGTTTAAGATTGAAGTGTTTCTTACCTCACTGCCATAAAGTTGATTCCAACTCATAGAAATATTACAGGACATGGTAGCACTGGCCCTTTGGGTTTCTGAAGTTATAAATCTTTATTAGAGTAAAAATTCTATCTTTCACCTTCAGCACAACTGGTGGAGTTGAACAGCTGGCGTTGTGGTTAGAAATCCAGTAGGTAACCAACAGGACTCCTGTACTATATGCATAGAAAGGGAAAATATACACTATATCATACGAAATCATTTGATTGACACTAAATAAGAGCTATGTGTACTTATTTCTACTTACCTACAAATTCAACTTAAATACAGACTTAGGTGTGGTTCTGGCTCATAATCCAGAGAATTCCTTTATTCTAATACTTCCAATCTACCACATACCTATCAGTTTGTTCTACTGTGGTGGCTTGTATGTTGCAGTGATGCAGGAACCCATGTCACTGATATTTCAAATACCAACAGAGGCAGCCAAAGTGAACAGACTTCAGCAGAACTTCCAGACTATGAAGAAAGAATAGGCTGCCCACTTTGGAAAATTAGACACTGAAATACCTCATGGATAGCACTGAAATATTTTCAGAACCCGAAGGTTTGATGAATAGAAGCAGAACGTTGTCAGGGGTAGTGCTAGAAGATGAGCCCCTCAGGTCATAAGTCACTCAAAATAAGACTGAAGGAAAGCTACCTTCTCAAAGTAGAGTGGACAGACCATAATGATGCTGATGGAGTAAAGCCTTTGGGATTTTCATTTGCTGATAGGGAACAATGCAAAATGAGAAGAAATGCCTGCAAACATCAATTAATATTCAGAACTTGGAATATACAAACTATGAATCTAGGAACACTGGAAGTTATTAAAAAGTAAATGGATCTCATGTCAATCAAATCTTAGGGGTTAGTGAGCCGAAATTGGTATCGGCCATTTTGAATCAGATAATCACATAATTTACTATGCTTGGAATGTCAGATTCAAGAATGGCATCAAATTCATCATCAAAAAGGACATTTCAAGATTTGCCTTGAAATAGGGCTGACTGTGATGGGATTATATCTATCCAAATATTAAAAAATCGAGTCAATATAACTATTATTCAAATTGACACACTAACCACTAAAGATAGTAATACAAAAATTGAAGAAATCTACCAACAACTTCACTTTGAAATTGATCAAATGTGCCATCAAAATGCATGAAAATTATTAGTGATTGGAATGCAAAAGTTGGAAGAAAAGAGGAAGGAACGGTAGTTGGAAAATATGAACTTGATGATAGAAATAAACCTGGAGCTAGCATGATAGAATCTTGCAAGACCAATGACTTCTTCATTGCAAATACCTTTTCCCAACAATACAAATGACAACTGTACACATGGACTACTCCAGATGGAATACGCAGAAATCAAATTGGCTACATCTGTGGGAAGAGGCAATGGAGAAACTATATCAGCAGCTAAAACAAGGCCAGGAGCTGACTGTAGAGAGGCCATCAATTGCTCATACATAAACAAGTTCAAGTTGAAGCTGCAGAAAGTGAAAACAAGTCCAGGAGAACGAAAATACCACCTGGAGTCTATCCCACCTGAATTTCCAGAACATCTCAACAACAGATTTGACTCATTGTACACTATTGATAGAAGACCTGCTGAGCTGTGGGATGACATCGATTTCATCACACATGAAGAAAGCAGAAGCTCACTAAAAAGATGGGAAAGAAAGGAAAGGTCAAATGGATGTCAGAAGAGACTCTGAAACTTGCTCTTAATTATAGAGTAGCTAGGGCAAATGGAAGAAATTATGAAGTCCAAGAACTGAGCAGAAAATTTCAAAGGGCAGCTTAAGAAGACAAAGTAAAATGTTATAATCAAATGTGCAAAGACCTTGAATTAGAAAATCAAAAAGTAAGAACACTGGGCATATCTGAAACAGAGAGAACTCAAGAAAAAATTCAAGCCTCGTGTTGCAGTCTTGAAAGATTCTATGGGCAAAACAATGAATGATGAAGGAAGCTTCAAAAGAAGATGGGAGGAATATACAGAGTCTCTGTACAAAATAGAACAAGTCAACATTCAATCATTTGTAGAAGCAGCATATGAGCAAGACCAATGGTGCTGGAGGAAGAAGTCCAAGCTGTACTGAAAGGATTAGCCAAAAACAATGCTCCAGGAATGATAGAATATCAATAGAAATATTTCAACAAACGGATGAAGCACTGGAAGCATTTCCAAGACTATGCCAGGAAATCTGGAAAACAGCTACCTGGCCAAGTGACTAAAAGCAACTCATATTTGTACCCATTCCAAAGAAAGATGATCCAACAGAATATGCAACTGAGAACAATATAATTAATATCACAAGCAAGTAAAATTCTGCTGAAGATCACTCAACAATGGTTGCAGCACTACATTGACAGGGAGCTACCAGATTTCATGTCAGTTTCAGGAGAGGATGTGGAACAGGGGATATCATTACTGGTGTCAGATGGACCTTGGCTGAAAGTGGAGAATACCAAAAAGATGTTCACTTGTGTTTTACTGACCACAAAGACATTGGACTGCGTGTATCATAATAACCTATGGATAACCTTAAGAGGGAATGGAAATACCAGGACACTTCATTGTGGTCATGTGGAATCTGTGCATGGTTCAAGAGGTAGCTGCGTG